ACTGACTATGTTCAAATTTCATATATTCATATATTCATATTCATATATTTATAATGGCTGATTTGTTTTAATTAATGCTCTTCCAGAGCAATATCTCTCAATACTCATTTGACGATCAGATGCAAATGTCAATCATTTAAATGTTAAACAATCATCATAATCATATTCCTGACATGTTTATATTCCAGCTATATTACTATAAACAAAACTTTATATCTTAAATTTGATAACTAACGGGGACTGTGCCATGCATGGCTTGTTTTATATATTTAAATAGAAGCTCACGTAACTCCTACTACCTACTGTGGGGCATAAAGCTGAAAAAGTCATGGAAGCTCACATAAACCAAATAATTTAGTTTGTATGTTTGATCATTAAAATACCCGGTATTATATATTTTGACCATACCAGACATACCTCTGTCATTTTTGTAAACTTCTAATAGACCTAATATGGTGTATACACTATTTATTAAATATTTTATGTTCGACTAAACGACCATAGTTGTCAACTATTCAGAACCTTGTTTATGTGATAGTTACAACAGTAAACAATAATGCACATTTTCCTAGATAATTAAAGTATTATCTTGTCCCTCTTCATTAAACCATACAATATTGTAACAGCAGTGAGAATCTGAGCGAATCTGTGCATTCAGTTTGTTACAAATGTTTTTTGTTGAGTTGAATGTAAAATATAGGAAAAAAGTGTTTAGACTGGATTTTATTTTTACTGATTCTTTCAGTGAAAATAAATTGCATGTGAAAATGACTTAATTTACAGTATTAGAACATGTAGAAATCAAACAATATCATGGCAGTTATGTTTTATACATGGTAGTGATACTTTCTGAACTTCAGAAAAGTTGACCGAACTCTTCCCCCTCCACTGAACCATGGTAAAGGTGCTCACAGTAATATGTGGTAAACCCACAATCGACTTGTCTTCAATTGTTCAGACTTTTTACCATTATAGCTTGCTTCATATATATATTATGTATGAATTCAAATTCAGCACAATAGGACATGCCACATGTGTAATTTTAGCTTCAGGCTGTACATGTGACAGATATATAATTGCCCTAGATATATTACCATATTTAATTAGCTATTAATCATATATATAAATGACAAGGAGTGTTTGGTACACTGCATTAGACTTCTCATGTAATAATTACATAAATTTACCAGCGGATGCATAAATATTGAATTGTGCAATATGTATATACACAATGCACTGAAATTTCCCATTAACCCTTTTTTACCGCTTTGTTTCCCGCTTTAAATTTGAGTAAATTTCTTCAAATTTTCTGTAAATTTCACTATAAAATCTTAAATTTAGACCCAACAGACAAATTGTGACATTGCTTCTAGTTTTTGAAATTTTTGCAACATTTCATGTGGAAAAGAGCAAACTTGAAATGGAACTATTTTGTGGATAGTGGTTGAAGTTGATTCAGGCACTTGAAGGGTTAAATCAGTAAACAGTTGTTGAATGTATTTACATGATGTAGAGTTGTCAAAACCATCTTTGACATATGAAAGGAGTTTACCATGATTTTAGTAGAAGATGGCTGAATGAGCATTATAATGTTGCATGGCTTCTGAGAAATGTGATCAAACAACATGTATGTAGTGTCTTGCAAGATCTCCTGATAAAAAAGTAATCGACATTTGTGATGTAAAATATTGTAAAATTTTGTGATGCGAAATATCTGATGAGAAAAATGGTCATTAATATGTGTATAAATGTACTGTAACCACAGTATTGTGCTTTGTCTTCACACCCTGAATAAAGCTGGGATATGATGAGAAAGAAAATATAATGCTATCAACAACCTCTTGTGGGATTTAAATTTCTTGCCAATGTGGCATTTTCTCTAAACGTCAAAGGTTCCTGATAAAGAAGTAATCGACATTTGTGATGTAAAATATTGTAAAATTTTGTGATGAGAAATATCTGATGAGAAAAGTGGTCATTAATATGTGTATAAATGTACCATAACCACAGTATTGTGCTTTGTCTTCACACTCAGAATAAAGCTGGGATATGATGAGAAAGAAAATATAACGCTATCAATAACCTCACATGGGATTTACCGGTAAATTCCTTGCCTATGTGGCATTTTCTCTAAACGTCAAAAGTTTATGCTTTAATAGCTATCGCATCAGGAAAATTTATCTTCAACATATTTTACGATCCACCCACTCGATGATATTTAAAAAAACTATTCAGATAAAATGAACTAGCGCCTAGAATAATTGATGCATCACAGACAGATAGAGTTACATTCAGTATAGAATACTATGAAGTGCAATATTGATATTAACTAGCGGAATGAAACATGTATGACATACAAATAAATGACATGCAATTGAATTGCTATTTATAGAGACAGCTTCCTTCCCAAT